GAGGGAGGAGAGGAGAGGAGGAGGTGTCATCCAAGCACACCATGAGGAGCACAAATCCAGGCTCTCTTTTTCTTTTCAGCATTGTCCGCCAAGGGAGCAGAAGGGGGGTATAAATCGGCTTTAGAGAGGCTTAAAAGGGGTTAAAAGGGGTTGCCTTTGTGTGGTGATTTTATTTTCATTTCTACGTTCAGTTCAATATAAATGCGAAGTAACCCTAAGCCAAAAGTTGTTTGCATATCAATTCTACAGATCAGATAATCTTCCACGGATTTTTTTTCTTCTTTCTTCTCCTTTCTTTTTGCTGGGCCTTCCCAGAACCCTAATCAGGGGTCATGCACGGCCCGGGAATAAGGGCGTGTGTCCAGGCACCACTTCATGGCCCACCGGCATCCTAATTATACAATGTCACTCGTTCGCAATGTATATCAGGCACAATGTCGACCAGATTCACACAATGATTGTGACTTATTCACAATGTGTCTATCACGCACAATGACGACCACGTTCACAATGATTTGTACTGACAACAGTGGACTCGTTGCATTCATGAACTGCACATCTGCTAAAAAAAAAAGAAACTTTAAAATGGCTCTGGAGTGGCAGTGGGTGATGGCGGCAGACAGGACGTCGTTTCCAGCCACAGCAGACTAACACAGCATAATACATTCAGGGCCTCGCTGCACATAACACGAAATGGGAAAAAAAAGAGTGCATCTGCTCACGAAATGTGTCAAAATACATTCGTTACTATTTATGGCAAACAGATGAACCTGTCCATTTTCTGTGGGAAGATGCACTTCTTTTCGTTTTTAATATCTTGTGCCGTGCAGTGACACCCTCACTATTGACAGTCACCGTTTACGCCACCACAACCTTTCACAGACAAACTTGGAACACAGCAAAATGCCCTATTTATAGCAAACAGATGAACCTGTCCATTTTCTGTGGGAAGACGCACTTCTTTTCGTTTTTAATATCTTGTGCCGTGCAATGCAGTGACACCCTCACTATTGACAGACACCCCTGTATACGCCACCACAAAATTTCACAGGCAAACTTGGAACAGCAAAATGAATCATTCTTCAGAGGCCGAGCTCCACCAGACCAAAAAGCATGGAGGCGCCAGCCAAAAGAAATCAAAAAGAAAAAAAAAAAAAGAAATCAAAAAGAAAAAAAAAACGTGCTGGCACTTGCGCAAGGCTTAGCAAGTGGTTTGTTTGTTTTTTGTTCCGCCTTATAACTATATGCTCGTATCCGACCAGACTTGTAGCTTGTATACATTCACGTATCAACGTGCATTTTGTTATATACTCATGATCACCTTGCATTTTGTTCCCGGGGAAAACAGCATGCCAAGTCCATGGGACAAGAGGTCAAGAAGGAAAAGGGGATAAAAATCAGGGGACCACAGGGGAAGACTGTGCGAACAAAGGGTGGTACATCGGACCACATGACATTAATTAGATTTAAGAATATTAAGTTCATTAAACCATGCGAAGAAAAGAAAAGAGTGGTTATCAAAAAGGCAAAGCAAGAAAAAAAAAGGGGATAAAATTATTAAAAATCGCTTACCCTCTTGAGAGCATCACCGTGATCTGGAATCGCGGCATTCTCGGTGAGTGTATTTTTGTCATCCGACTCTCCCAATTCTGAGTGTGTAATCACACTTCTTGTAGTTCCCACTTGCTCCACCAATCCTTGTACAGCGCATCTGGTCTTCGCACCTAAATGATACAATGCATATCTGAATGCCCCAAAGGAAAGGGCCCAAATTTCCCAGAAAAGGGGAAAAACATTAATTCAGTTGGTAGGAAAAGCGAGTTAAGACACCATAACCCAAAAAAAAAAAAAAAAAAAAAAAAAAAGGCCACGAGAAAATAAGATACAGAGTGTTACGCCCAAGCGGGCTAGCTCAGTTGGTTGAGCACGTAACCCCACGTCGTCTTTTCGATCCCCACGGCCTCCTGGGGGGGGGGAGGGGAGGTATGCTTCGGGGTCACCAGCGGAGACTGTTGGCTTGGCTTGGGCCTCCTGGCTGGTTGTGGCAGTATTTGACTGCTTTCCAACTCGTGCCAGGTGTTAGGAGCCGAGGTACTGCTCCCCGTATAGACCATAGTTGAGCAGGACGGCTCGGATTCATCAACCCATAACTGGAACAATTCGGAATTGAAACTGGACTTAGATAACAGGACAGGTAGTTTGAGGGGCCAAAAAAAAAAAAAAAAACAGATGCAGATTTTTTTATTTTATTTTTAACAAGATAAAAGAGTATTTCAGACCATACATGCGGCGCATTCTAGCTCAGTAACGGGAGGGGGCTTTCGGAGTATCAACAGAGGTATTCTGAATAATGTGAAAGAAGTTCAAACAACTCTTTGCTTGTTCTCTCTCTCTCTCTCTCTCTTTTGGCCCTTTTTTTTTGTCTTTTCTCCTTTTTTTTTTTTTTTTAACGCATCAGCGTTCAGCGCACCGCGCTGCTCGCACCACACACACATGGACCGAAAGTATGTTACAGAAACCTTTTGCCTCACAGACATGTCTCAACGGCAGAACGGGCAAAAAAAAATAAAAAAAATCCATTCAGCAGAATGACAATATTTTTTTCATAAAGAATCATGAAGCAATCAAAGCAGCTCTAATTCTTCAGCATTGCGAACTGCAACCTGCTGCAAAATCATCAACAAAAAGATACCCAAAAAGAGCAAATAGCAGTCAAGTCAGTTGGAAAGGCGAGAGAGAGGGAGAGAGAGAGAGGGGGGGGGAGGGGGGGGGGAAGAAGAGGAGGTAGACTTTTTTTTCTGTGTACAACAAAAATTTGGTCTTTGAAGGAAAATCAGACCGCAGCTTATATCAGGTGATAAACATTTGACTCGAAACAACAACAATTATTGACTACCGTCTTCACCAGAATAGAACGCCCGGTAATTATCACCGTATCTGGACTAGAAGTTGCACCACATACAGCTATCATGACCGCATCTAGTCTTTCACAGGATAGGGGGAAAGGGGCCAGTGAGAAAGGGGGGGAAACGAATGGGTGTGTCAATCGAGGAGAAAGCGACATATCGGGCTACTGTCCTCCCCCCAATAGAACGCTCGGCCCTAATATCTATATTCGGGCCAACTTTCAGTGCAGATACAGACGGTGCGTTCTATCCGAAGGGAACACGGTAAATTCCAGACTGCAAGGAGTGTACTTGGACAGGGAGTGTGTCCACAAGCTGTCATAGCCCAGCAAAGAGTGGAATATGGGAGTTGTAGAGACTGCAGCCCGAATGGAGATGAAGGGACGGGTCATGCATGCAGAAGAAACGACACGGCAGCAGGGGAGAGGAAGTGGGGAAGAGGAGGGAGGGGAGAGGAGGGGATAGTGAGAAACACCGTACTGGGGGGACACTACGACTAAAGGCAGGTCGACTACTTACTTTAGTGAAGAGCTTCCAGCATTGAGAACGAGTATGGAGCGTGTCATGGTTTCTTCCCCCATCGTCTTAATGGCCTCAGCAGAACAAACTTCGCCTCCCTCCCCAGACAGAGATGCGCACTCAAGATCGGGCTCCCGATGTCCGGATCGCTGCAGAGACAAAAGGTCCAGCGGCGGGGTAAGTGGGGGGAAAGAGGGGGGGGGGGGGGGGGGGGGGGGGGGGGGGAAAAGGAGGGAGGGAGGGGGAAGAAGAAACCAATGAAACAAGAACCGATGCGACAAAAGAAACGTTGTCCAAAATTTAAATATTATCCATTGCACTGCTGAAGTATTACTTATTTATTTTGTCAATATGAATATGTACATATGTTTGTCTGATTAATGTTGTTAGAACAATAAGTACTAACTACAAGACAATAAATCGTAATTACTCCTTTTGGCATATTTAACTTTGATGTTGCTGACTGCAATTTCGGCGTTTATTTAACAACAAAATCGCCAGGTTCTAGTGTGGAATCGAATCCTTCAGTGGAATCGAACCTGGCCGCAATCTCGGCATTTAATTAACAAAAAAAAAAAACAGGTTCTACTGTGGAATCGAATCCTTCAGTAGAATCGAATCCTTCAGTGGAATCGAACCTGGCCGCAATTTCGGCGTTTAATAAAAAAAAAAAAAAAAACAGGTTCTACTGTGGAATCGAACCTGGCAGCAATTTCGGCGTTTATTTAACAAAAAAATCGCCAGGTTCTACTGTGGAGTCGAATCCTTCAGTGGAATCGAACCTGGCCGCAATTTCGGCGTTCAATTAACAAAAAAAAAAAACAGGTTCAACTGTGGAATCGAATCCTTCAGTGGAATCGAACCTGGCCGCAATTCCGGCGTTTATTTAACAAAAAAAAAATCGCCAGGTTCGATTCCACTCAAGGATTCGATTCCATATTTACTGGCGGGAAGTCGGTAAACACTGAAGGATTCGATTCCAAAAACGCCAAAATTGCGGGCAAGAACATCGTAGTGAAATGCACGAAGTAGTATTAAAGAATAAATCGTAATTAAGCCACGATGGATATTGTTCGTAAGATAACACATAGTAATACGGGAAACTACGCGGGAGTCACAAAAAGAGTTGAAAATACACTTCGGGCAGAAAACATTTTCAAGTTGCGATGTATACAAGCTAGATTTCCGGTCAGGTACGGTTGCGTGCGGAGGGTGTTATTATGTACGGGGGCATGCCTCAAGTGTAATTTCAAACTGTTTTTCTGACTGTGCTGAAGTTACCTCGAAATAGTAATTAAACTACAAGCGGACTTCATGCAATTTTCACCCCAAGCAAAAAAAATCGTTTTCAAAAAATAAAAATAAAAATAAATCGTTTTCTCACTCAGAATGAATCGGACCGGTTGCAGGCAGTCCCGTACACCGAGAGCGCGAAAAAAAAAAAATCCCGTCCAGTATGAACGAATCGGCTGCCAGGCAGTCCGATACATCGAGAGCGTGGTCTCCACGTATATGGAGCGAAAATAAAAAGCGAGACGTGTACGAGGACTGAAAACCAAATCGAACTCGATGGTTCAGTTTTTTGTTTTCAAAGCTGACGTATTAATCTTCTGAAACGTCCAAAAAAAAAAAAGCCAAAACAAAACCTATCCAAATACAAAAAACGAAAGGTAACTTCATTATAACAGTATAACAACCAGCTTCAAAACTTCCAGTTCCTATCAAAGCATATAGAGATCTGTGAAAATATTGGTATGTATAGAGCCACTCGGAGACACATTTACCACATTCGTTTGCCAAGCAATATAATAGACATATCTCGTCACAAATTTATCAGAGCGCAAATGCGAAAAAAAAAAAAATCATTTTTTTTCTTCCTATAATAGATATACATATGTTTATGTATAGCAATATAATAGATGTTTATGTATAGCAATATATTGATATTAGTTTGCCAAGCAATATAATAGAAATATATATTTGTATAGCAATATAATTATATTTATTTCCCTTGCAATATTTACTGTATTTGCATAGCAATATATTTAGTTGATTGAACAGATTATCACTTTTGCAAAATATAAAATAATCAATAAAGCGCGGCTAAGATATTTATGTGATTAGCAATTATTTGGTTAAATGCATGTTACATTTTCAGCACTGAATTATAAATCATATATCACTACGCTCACATTGATAAACATCGCAATCGTCGTGGCCCTCGTCGTGACCAGCACGGCCGGTTTCATTATCATCAAAGCCAACGTTCACTAAGAAAGGAAGGGCACTCCTCTGCCTGCCACCAAAGACTCAAATACATCTCATACATATCTCGGAAGAACCTGCCGTGTTCACTTAAGACCTCTCTCTCTCTCTCTCTCTCTCACACACACACACACACACACCTCGATATGATTGTGGACACGATTCGCAGAACTGTGCGGCCTCTCTCTCTCACGATTCGCAGAACCGTGCCGCCTCTCTCTCTCTCTCTCCCCGGCCCCCCACGATAATGGGTCTTGTTTTACGTGTTTTTTTGGTAATTAAAACAGAGTGGGGGGAATACAGATCGGAGGGGAAAGGGCAGCAATGCAAATCTGCCGCCGTCGAAGGGGGAGGCAATATAGGTCGCTCCTGCCCCTAATTTCTCTCCTATTTATCTCAAATACGTTACACTCCCAAAAAGACCAAAAATAGCACAGCAAACTACTATTCCATTTCCCTGTCTTTCCTTACTCCTCACACCCAATCCCTCCCTGTCTCCGTATCACTACTTGACACCGTTTTTCCATCATCATCATCATCATTATCCTCACCATACCGATCGATGTTTCCGTCTTTTTCCCCCCATCATACCCACTTCTCCCATCCCCCCCCGGTGCCTCCCCATCCCCGCCCCCCGCCCACTCAAGGTATAGAGAGTATGATCGCATTTAGGACTACAGGAATAATTTGAGTAAAACATTTTGAGAACGAGCAGTCGTCCGCGAGGACGTACCCAATTATTACTACTTATTTAAAAAGAAAAGAAAGAAAAACAAAAAAAATATCCTCTGGATAAGATCCTCCTCCCCACATGTGCGAGCCAGATTGTGATCACACTGCCGATTGTGCAAACAAAAAACGACTATTCCCATTTCGTCTCAGATACACACTACACACTTCTACCACACAACCCTTACAGGCTTCGTCACATCGACACACGTCTTTCTACCTTGCGCGCAAATTGCGTCACAGCTCAGCATAAATGTGAAAAAGACGTAAAAAAAATAATGATAAGGCATAAATGTGCAAAAGTAATAAGTGCATAAGGCGTTCAATCTTCCCCGAATTATGTAAAAGACGGTGATAAAACTGCTGCCATTCCTCCACCGTGAGCGCTCTTTTGTTCTGTTCCAAATCCTTCTGACATTCCGTCTATTAGCTCACACTAATTTTATCACTATTGGCATGTTGTCAGTCAGACTCAACGTGCCTCGCTCCGATACTCACGACATGCACAAAACGTGACAAAGAACAAAAAATACGGCGGTGTATCTTTCTATGTTTCTAGCGGAAGATTCATTCTCATTGTGCACGCACAATTGGTGAGTAGTGAATCGCAGTCCAGATTCTTGTTGACATTCAGTCGATCGCCAGTATGGGCCATGGGCCTCCCTCTACTACTCGCCACAGGCACAAAAGACAAAACTACGGCGGTGTACACTTCCATGGTCTAGCGGAAGATTCATTCTCATTCTGCACATTTGGTGAGATCGACGCCCCATCCCTGCTGCAGTACCTAGCATCAACTCACAGAAACAACACGAATGAACCTAATCCTCTCTTCCTCCTGTAACCTACACATATTCATCGCTCCTCTACTCGTCTAACATGGCAACGAGTTTTTACCACGTTCATCGGCGAACAACCCAACCCTTGGAACCTCTCGACTCCTCGACCTTCCACCACTACTGATGGGGTAAGACTTACCAGTATGCCTCTACCATATTCACTACAGTTAGTATGCCTTCACCATACTCACTACAGTTACCAGGCGATCTATAATGTACTACCGGTAGTTCGCGCTTTGGTTGGCGTTCTTCTCCTACCAATCTCATCATCGAACATGAGAATAGCAAACAAATCCGACAAAACAAAAGCAAACATCTGTGTTGCTCAAATCGCTCCTCCTCGACTCGTTAGTTTGACAAGCATGATGAGTTGAGTTCCTCGTTTCCCTCCTTCCACGACCAAAAAAAAAAAAAACTCGAAAAACAAGGAACGATGAGGAGGAGAAATGGAACGCGGGGACCTCGCGAACCCCTTAAAACAAAAACATAGCCGCCAAATAGGGCCTCGCTCCACTACACAACACTCTACATGTATCTGGAAGCTCGTAATCATGTCCCGATACATTCACAATGCTGAGCACCTTCGAATGAACCCGATCCAGAATGGCGTACAGATGCATGCAGAATGCTGAATACTGGAGCGAGGCCCATAGGCAGCGACAAAAGAGATGAGCCAAACAACGGAAAAAGGGGAGGAGGAGGTAGTTCTACAAGAACTCGGAGGTAGTGGACGAGGAGGAGGAGGCGGAGGGAGAAGAAGAGGAGACAGAAAAGGAGGTCAAAGGAACAAAGACGAGGGAGGACTGGAGGCGGGGAGGAACGGGGAGGAACGGGGGAAGAGGAGGAGGGGACGGCCGGGGGAAGGAAATGGGGAAGGGGAACAGGACGAGGGGTGCTGTTGCTGATACCGCTCTACCACAGCGACTGTGACAACCGAGCAAGAGTAGAATCAAGCACCACCAAAGACTGTGTAGCAGCGATCCTCCACACAACGTCATCTCTCTCTCTCTCTCTCTCTCTCTCTCTCTCTCTCTCTCTCTCTCTCTCTCTCTCTCTCTCTCTCTCTCTCTCTC